CCCCCGCCGCCCCCGGGCACTGAGGTCACCCTTACCCCTAGCTTGGTGTCTGCATCCACCTGCCTGTGTGACAATCTCTGTGTCAGGCCCACCTCCCTCTCCAGCTTTCAAAGGCAGGATCAGATTCCCATCTCAGTGTTCTCTCTCTCTCTCTCTCTCTCTCTCTCTCTCTCTCTCTCTCTCACACACACCCACACACACACACACACACACACACACACCACCCCCCATCTCGCGCACACACACACACACACACACACACACACACACACACCCCACACCTGGGCTCCATGCCCAGTCTTTCCTCATCGGGCAGACAGTTAACAAGCCCCTTGACCAGCCTTTACTCACCCCACAGACTGCTAAGCCCTCTATAAGGATCCCAGATGAGCCCTGCAGTCTGAAATGATGCTAAGAGCAAGCACTTACGGAGCCGGGTGCCAGGCTCCGCTGTCTGAATCCATGAACTAATTCGATCCTCCCAACAACCCATGAGGAGATACTTCACAGACAGAGGAGACCAAGGCACAAAGAGGTGAAAGTGAAGGATACTGTTGCTGGTAGAACAACAGCCAGCCCCCTGAAGACAACCAGACTCTGATCCCCAGAAACCGTGACTGTTCATTGATGTGGCGAAGGGACTTTGCAGATGTGATTAAACTAAGGATCCTAAGATGCAGAGACCATCCTGGCTTTTCTGGGTGGGCCCAGGGTCATCACAGGGCCCTTACAAGTGAGCAGGGACGGGCGGGGTGCAGGGAGCCAGCCTTGGAGGGATGCATGTGAGAAAGACTCCACCAGCTGTCACGGGCTGAAAGATGAAATGGACCGAGAGCCAGGAATTCACGCAGCCGCTACAGACGGAAAAGCCTAGAAGGCATTCTCCCCCAGAGCCTCCGCACTGGGGTAGCCCTGCCGATGTCTTGATTTTAGCCCGGGAGAACTTTTTGGATTTCTGACTCCAGGAACTGCAAGGGGATAGTTTCGTGTTGCTTTAAGCTGCTAGGCTCGTGGCGCTTTGCTACAGCAGCCCCAGAAAATGACTGCAGGTACACAGCTGGCCCCCGGCAGAGCCCAGCTCAGCCACAGCTGCCCCACACCGGGGCCCCTGCACAATGACAACAGAAGTCACCGGGGCTACCCCTGCCTCCAGGCTGCAGCCTCCTCACCCAGCAAGGGAATGCGATCCCACCCTGGGCCTTTGCCTCCCACAGAGCAGCATGAAGACCAAACACACGCAGGGCTCACACCTGAGAGGAAGCAGTTCGGCCGGTGTGGCTCAAGAGCTGAGTGTCATCTGGCACCAAGAGGTCACTGGTTCGATTCCCAGTCAGGGCACATGGCTGGGTTGTGGGCTCCATCCCCAGTAGGGTCCGTGCAGGAGGCAGCTGATCAATGTCTCTCTTTCTCTCTCTCTCTCTCTCTCAACAATAACTCTCTATCTATCTATCTATCTATCTATCTATCTATTTATAGATAGATAGATATATTTAAGTGTAAGCAGACTGCCATGCAGGAGGAGTGAAGTTATTTGCCATTTTTAAGAACTGCCACCTGAGCCGGCCCTGTGTGGGAGACAGGGAGGCCGTGGAGCCATGGGGCTGCTCTGAGAGAGGCTGTTATAAGAAACCAGCCCTGCCTCTAGATGGGCTTCCTGGAGGAGGTGTTCAGACACGCCCCGGGGGCTGGCTAGGCTTCCTCTATCCATCAGTCAGCCCAGCGGTCATGGCAAAGCAGGGTGGGCTGAGGAGGCGCAGACCCTCCTCTGTGGAGCCAAGCCGCTCCTGGCTGTGGGGGAGCCGCTCACAGCTCTCACTCGAGTGGAGAAGGCCCCTTGGCAGGAGCAGCAGGGTGGACAGGCCGCCTTGGCCCAGAGGACTTGCCTGGACACAGACAGAGGGGAGCTGGACTCTAACAGCCAGACTCAGGGAAAAGCCTGAGGAGACAGCACCCCCTACCCCCCAAGTCCTGCAGCCAGTCTGGGCCCCACAGGGAGAAGTGATGGGCTGCCTGTACGGGCGTAGCAGACTCTGGTGTCTGCCACTTGATGCTCAAAACCCTGCTGGCTCTCCTGGCCTTGCTCTCCGCCACGTGTGTGTGTGTGTGTGTGTGTGTGTGTGTGTGTGACCACTTCCCACCCCGACTGAGCCTCCAGTCCATCAGGCTTTGCCCAAAGCATCCCCAGGTCCCCCATGGAGCCCAGCCCGGAGCCAGCACCAGAGAGATGAGTCAGGTGCACGCCTGGCCAGGCCACACCTGTTTGCACTGCCTGGCTCTTTCTGGCCGATGACTGAGCTGGTCCGGTGTGTGGGCAGAAGCACGGGCCAGCTCTCCAGGCCTGAGCTCAGCGGACCATCTCCCATCCTGTCGTGTCATTGTCCCCCAACACCCACGCCCGGCCTCCTGGTTAAAAAGCCAGCGAGGACCGCCTCCCAAGGAGTCAACTCCCCAAGGGAAGGGAAGGAACGGTGCGGGTGTTTTCATAGATTTGTGCTATGAAGCGAACACACACACACACACACACACGCACACAAAACATGCGGTTTGATTGCCCATTTGAATCTGCTAGAGACGTGGGAGGCTCTGTGAACAGATCCTGGGCACCCAGGCAGGCGAATGCCTCTTGGTGTGAACATGAGGCCTCTCAATGTGACTGCGGCAGGATTGGGAGTTCAGTCAGTTCCTTTTATTTAATCCCGGCAGGAGCACATCTTGCAGCATTTTAGCAGAAACACATAGGGAGCCGTAATTCAACATGCCCATATTTACCTTTGAGGCACCTTCCCAGCATGCACTGCCAGCGTGGCGCAGGGGGCACAGCTGAGCTGAATCAGCGTGCGCTCGCGAGCACGGCGCTGGGAGCGCCTGCGTCGTTGCCAGTGAGCAGGGGCTGCGTGCCCGTCCCCTTCTCAGCCTGTCTTTGCCCCTCCTGCCCTTTCCAAAGGGCCTGGCACAGACCTCTGCACAGTGAGGACTTAGGCGTTGGAAGGGATAGTAAAGATGTAAGCCGCCAGCTACGGGTATAGCATTTCCCTTTCACAAGACGAAAAAGTTCTAGAGATTTGTTGCACAGCAACGTGCGTGAAGGTGACATCACTGTACTGTACACTTGAAAATGGGCAAGAAGGTACATCTTAGATGTCTTCTAACACAATAGAAAATGTAAGCAGAGGAAGAGTCCCTAATTCGAAACATGACATCTGTGAGCATTAGAAATGCAGTGACTGCTCATGGGCAGGGGTTTCTGCTTGGGGTGGTGACTTTTATGGTACGTGAATTATATCTTTATTTTTTTTTAATGCATGGAAAAGCTGTGGAGTCCTAGGCCTCGCACTGGTGACTGAGGTCTGCAAAGGGCTGGGTGTTCCAGGTGAGACGGAGGTGGCCCTCACAGACTGACTTTTGGGAACAACTGCCCTCGGACAGTATGTTCAGGAATCCCTGGGACCTGCTAAAACGTTTGCAAGTTGGGCCTGAGATTTGGCAGTTCCTACAAGATCCCCGTGATGCTGATGCCACTGGTGGGTGGACCACACTCTACATGGCAAGGCTCAGGGCACGGAGCTGCTCCCAAATCTCACAGATCTAGGCCCCTTCCTCATGGCCAGTGCCCCCTGAGCCCACTAAGGGGCGCTGTTGAGGGCCTGCCATGGTTCCCCACCCCTCCCCAGGTGCCAAGGCAGCCCCTAGGAGCCCAGCACAGGGCCTCTCTCATGCTGAGCCACTTCCCTGGGGCAGCTGTCCTGGGAGATACGGGCTGGCTCAGAGCCCTCAGGGTTAGTCCTGCTGGGTGGTACCAGGACCTCCCAGCCTCAGAATCACTGTTCCATGGACCCTCTGGCTAGGCTGGGACCTCCAGTGTCCCCAGCGCTTCCCCAGCCCACCTCCTCTCCGGCCTCATCGGCCCCACCCCCACCCAGGGCTGTGCAGGGACCCTGGGGTTGCTGCCGCATCTCTGGGGCCTGCTGCCGCTGCCAGGCAGTGCTGGGTTGGTTAGATACCAGGAGGAGAAACCCCAGGGGGGCAGCCCGAGCAGGTGCCAGGGAGGCCACACCCTCGCACTGAGGCCGCAGTCAGGCTCAGAGCAAGACAGGCGGCTGGTCTCTCCTCTCCGCTGCCCGCCCCACTGTTCTCGCCAGGCTGTGCCCACACACCTGCAGGAATGACAGCTATTCCTGTAGCTGTCTCATCCCTCTTAGGGGACTATAACATTCCCCAGGGGGGCAAGAACAGGGTCTTATTCAGCTTAATACCCTCAGGGTGCCCAGCAAAGTCCCGGGCATCTACAGGGTGCTCGGGACCAGTGCCAGAAGGGCCCACAATTAAACGTAGAACCATTCTCGCCTCACCAAGTAAGATGTAGCTGTGCATGGCAGGCTGCCCCCTGAATACGGCCCCTCTCCACGGACGTGTCTGCCCACCCAGCTCATGCCGCTGCCACAGCGTTAAGTGGGACTTCCCTGGCCTTACACATGTCTCAGCCACCTCCTGAGAAAGGCAGGCGCGAGTGGGGGAGGGGAGCGAGGGTCTGCATGCAGAGAACAGATGCAGCACTGAGCCCCTTCTGTTAACCCCTGGGGTGAGGATCGGCATGGGGCCCCAGGGGAGCCATCCTCAGCCCAGCCCAGACAGGAAAACCCCAGAGCTGTTAGCAACCGTCTTGGTTACTTCGTCCCTCCCTGGGCAGCTGTCTTCCTGAGCCTCTTGCCCGCCCAGAGGTTCATGGGTGAGGTCTCTGCCTTTGGCCCTCCAGAGTGGGGAACTAAGAGGGACCTTCGGGGGCTCCATCCGGCCAGCCCACCACACCCACAACTAATCACACAGCTGAGCCCAGCAGCATGGACGCCCAGGACTCTGCAGCCAGCTCTGCCCTCTCGGAGGGCTGTCTGTGGGGCCCCTCTTCTGAAGTGGGGAGAACAGCCGTGCCTGGATGCTGGCACCCCGTCCCATGGGTGGTCCAAGACCAGTACATGTCCCCCATCCTTCACAGCTCTCCTGGGCGGCCGCGGCTTTTTTAGGCTATGGTTTATATATATTACTGAATGCTAACCCGGGTTCTTTGAGATACTCCGAAACTGCAAACATTGTGTCAACACCTAATCAAAAAGCAAGCGCTGCCCCCCTCGGAAGATGCCCATGTGCCAAGGAGCCAGGGGCCTCTCTCTTGGGAAGTGGTTTCTCCTTGGCTGAGCCGGGGGGACCTGCTGGAGGTCCCTGCGAGTGGGTGGGGAGGTGCAGGGGGAGGGGACACCTGGGGACAGTACCAGAGCCAGGGGACACTGACAGGCCTCATTCCTTCTGGCACGCTCAGTAGCTTAGCTCCTAGGACATTTCTCCCCTGAAAAATCAGAGCAGGGTTCCCCAAACTTCCACAGGCCCAGGACTCCACTGGGGCCTTGTTACAACGCAGGTGTTGGCTGGCAGGTCTGGGCTGGGGTCGGAGACTCTACATTTCCAACCGGCTCCTCCCGGCGGATGATCGGACTGCTTGTTTGAGGACTTGGCCCTGCCCTGTCCACCCGCCACAGGGGGCCCAGAGGGCACAATGAGCAGGCACTGACCGCAAAGGATATGAATGAACCAGGATCTTCACGGCCGCTCTCCGGATGGGGTGGAAGGGGCTGAGGACGTACAAGGCGTTGGTGGCACTGAACCGGAAGATGGTCTTGCCTTTATTCAGCACAATGAAGGTCTGTGGACAGAGAGCTGCTTTAGGTCAGGGTGGCAGCCCCTCGGCCCTTGTGGAGACAGGTTTGGGGGGCAGTATTGGCTTAAACCCTAGAGCCCTGGCTAAGGGGTGGGGTGGCAAGGAGAGAGGGCCTGAGGGAGGGGTGAGGGATGGGGGAGCAGCATATTCTGAAGGTCACTGGACTCTCACTGGGTCACCATGACTGGGAGGGGGGAGGTCAAGTTTAGGAGAATGTCAAGGGTGGGTGGGATTTCCTTTATGTTCAAAATGACCATCCCAGCAAGAAGGGCTCTCCTGATCCTGGCTGAGCTGCTGTCATAGCAGCGGCCGGGGCCCAGCTGACGCTCCCTCCTTCTCCTTCTCCTGTGGACCCCTCCCTGCCTGGTGTGGCTTCCCCACTGGACCACGGGGGAGTAAAGCCCGAGGGGTGAAGACCAGGGGTGGGGAAAGGGCAGACCCTAGCCCAGCAGAGAGCAGCGTTCCCGTGACCCTGTCTCCCTTCCCGTGACCCTGTCTCCCAGAACCCAGGACAGATGTCAGCCCCACCCCGTGACACAGTGTCTCCCCTGGAGGGATTGTGAGCAGCCCAAGGTAGACCCTTCCCCAAGCTTCCAGAAGACACTGTCTACACAGCACGATGGGGCATGAGCGTTGTGGCCGAGCCTCAGGCGCATCAAGCGGGTGTTTGGGCCGGCCCGGGAGGACATCGGCCATGCCCCTGCCCAGCTGTACGGCAGCACGGCCGAGGTGGCACGGCGCTGGGCTCTCGCTTCTCTACGGCAGCTGTTGCTGCTGAGACAAAGCTCTGTTTAATCTGGGTAGGGGGACGAGTTGACCAGATATCCCAGGACCAAATGTGCTGCTTGGTGCCCGCCTTGCCCTGTGGGTTGCGGGCAGTGTGGCAGGGGTCAGAAAGGAGAGACAGAGGTTAGAGACCAGAATCATACCTGGGCCTCGGTTCAAGTATTCCGGGTCACAGGGACAGAAGGGAGTGTCCCTGACTCCTTCCAGGCCCAGCTGCCACCAGCCCCCGCAGCTCAGCTCAGCTCAGCCCGGCCGTTGGGTCCCCGTGCCACGACCGCTGCCTGTCCCAGAGAACTACGACCTAGCCACCCCTTTGAGTCGCCATGGTAGCCTTGACTTGCCACCAGCTGTGGTCTTACCCCCATCCTGATTCTTACTTCCAGCTCTGACCAACCATGACCTAAGCCCACCCACCCTGACGAATCCCAACTTCCAGCCTAACTCTGACCCAAACTGTGGCCCCAGCCACAAACCGGAACCCGGCCTGAGTCACGTGAGCCAGGGGGAAGCAGGGCAGGTTCAAGGTCTCCCTGCCCACCTGTGCACACACAGAGACGTGGTTTCCCTTCACCCTCGCCCACTCACACCAGCTTTCACGCATGGAGACAGTCTAGAGCCACACCCACCCTCCGCCCCTTAGTCTCCTAAATGCCATCTCACACAGTCAGGTGCCCGGTGACACAGACACACGGCGCTTACACCTGCCACGGACTTGCACCCGCCCTGGGAACACAGGTCCCGGCTGCGCTCACTGCTTCCTCTGCCCTGTACTGACTGCAGCGCCGTGAGCAGCCACTGTCCACGGTCCCTGCCTTCTGGGGAAAGTTGTCCCCCAAGTTCAAACCCACTTTCCTCCAGCAGTGAGGGTGAAGTGAGGGTGGCCGGGCTGGGGACCAGGCCTCTGCAGGAGCCCTGCATGCCGGGGGTCTGGCCGGGTATAGGGCTGGGCATTCAGTCCTGAGAGGTGAGGTCAGGGCGGGGCGGGGACTCCGACGGGGAGCTCACCTTCTGGATAGAAATCTATACGAGGCGGGAGCCTGACTCACCCTGTCCAGTGGGGAAGAGCCACCTCCTCTCCCCA